AAAATATGCAAAATATTTCCACATCCATACTAAAGTCATAACGCTGCCACTGCCCCCTGTGTTTCCTGTCAGTGTGTTGCAGTTCACTCCACACCTCCACGAGTAGGTGGAATTTGGAGGATTCTTTAAATAAATCCTCCTTTCCTAACGGTGAGATTTAAGGCAGCGCTGCACTGGACTGCTGACCTGAACAGGTCGTGACCCGGTTTTACCTCGTCTCAGCCTGGACTGGGTTCTTTTAGTTCTTTTTAGTCAGTACTGCAGTAATCCTCCTTCATCCTGCAATGCTGAGGTTGTCAGGTTTTTGCTGCAGCTTTACTGGAGATGTTTATTAAAAATATATAAATATACAAATACATATCTGTCAGATGGTAGGAAGTGCTCTTTTATTATGATACAAATACATATCTGTCAGATGGTAGTTATGAGGAAGTGCTCTTTTATTATAAATAATACGGCTTTATTTTTACATAAAGTTAGACCGAAATGAACAGAGACGACTGACAAAGCAGAAGTATTACTGCAGAAAATACTACCTCCATATTTCCACATTACTTTTTTTAAGTCAGTTTGCAGTACTTTACTACTTTACTTAATTATTCAAATTGCGATTTTATCAGGATTAAATATTCCCATCGAAGTATTTGTCATAATGTGTAAAACACAAAGAAACACTTTCGTTGATGCTATCAAAACGACCTTGGCTCTCCTGGGGGGAACATCAGGACAGAGGAGCTGGATGATGTGGGGCTACTTCCTGTTCTCAAAGCTTCGTGATGAAATTTCAGACCCTGACGATGGATGTGGAGAGATTCATTTTCTCCTCTCTCCCTGCTCTCCTCCCTGCAGCCGAGCGCTGGAGCTCTCCTTGGCTCTGGTGTCAGCCTCCAACATCCGCTCCATGATGAAGGAGCTGCTCCTCTTCCTCTCCTCCTGCCCCCCCGAGCTCAGATCTCACACTGCCAGTGGCATCTTCACTGCAGCTGAAAGGTGAGTGGAGCACTGCAGACACAGAACGTCTGCCACACACGTATATGAATATACATGTATATATATGTACATATATATGTATATATGAATATACATGTACATATGTTTATATATATGCATTTAAATATATAAGTGTACATGTAAATATATATTCATACATATACTGTATACGTCCTTCTCCCTGTGTCTCCACTCAGTGATGTCTCTGTGTCAGTCAGTAGCTTTCACCATGTCACACTCGAGCCCTTAATGCACCACACTGTTTGTGTTTGTACCAGTGTGTGCGTGGACAGATGTGTCTGTTATTTAGTCTAAAAGAATGTTCTCACTCCTCAACACTGTTCTTGATTCTTGGCACTCGCAGAAATGGTTCATATTTTCGATTCATGTGTATTTATATCTAAGTCACTCCTTGGAGCACTGAGTTTGGGGTGTGTGTGTGTGTGTCTCTGTCAGGTATGCACCGTCCCAGCGCTGGCACATTGACACCATGCTGCATGTCCTCACCACGGTAACTACACTCCCAGCCTCTCACCCTGCTGAGCTCTAACACTCGCATCTCTGCAGGAGCATAGAAATATATTCTAATATAAGTGAGAGAATACATAGTACACAGATGACTGCGTAAAGCCATGATGTTTATTTTAGTCCTGTCTGTCCTAGTGGTGTAGATGAATATTGCAGTGAGTGAAGTGTGTCCTCTTTGCATGTTTGATTTTTTTTTATTCCCACTCTGTCAGGCAGGGGGCGACGTAAGGGACGAGACTGTGCCTAATCTGATCCAGTTGATCACCAACACCTCAGAGCTGCACTGTTACACCGTCCATAAACTCTACAGGGCCCTGCTGACTGACATCTCACAGGTGTGTGCACGTGTTTACTGTGTTTTTATTATTATGTGGTGACATTTTATATTATCATGGTGTGTCAAGCCAATGTGTCCCCTGTGGTCTTCTGCAGCAGCCCCTGGTGCAGGTGGCCTGCTGGTGTATAGGAGAATATGGAGACCTGCTGCTGAGAGGAGAGTGTCAGGAGACTGAGCCTGTACAGGTAAAGCAGCGGGGAAATATGTACAAGTCCAAGGAGGGCTTTAATTATTGCACACATTTGACTGTGACATTGTTCTTCAACAGTCACAGTACATGATTTCCTACACACTATATACCATGGAAGGATGAAACCATATGTTCAGTCCTCTTATATAACAACTATCGGCGTTTTTTGTAACGTTTCATGATTTCGTCAGGTCTCTGAAGACGACGTCCTGGACGCTTTGGAAACTGTCCTCCAGTCCCACATGTCGTCTCCGGCGACCAGGGCTTTCGCTCTCACCGCCACGATGAAGCTGAGCACGAGGATCACAGACAACGTGGAGTAAGAGACACGTGTACTTCAGGGTCAACTGAGGTTGATGTTTAAAATATTTAAGACTGTTTTTTTAAGGTTAAAAATCTCTTCTTTTTGCCTCCAGTCGGATCAGAAGCATCGTCAGCATCTACGGCAGCTGCATAGACGTGGAGCTCCAGCAGAGGGCAGTGGAATACAATGCTCTGTTCAAAAAATATGATCACATGAGGTAGGCTGCAGCTCAGTAAGGAAGTTCATGATTTTTTTTCTGCTCTTTTTAAAGAATGTCCTTTCCCCCTCTGTCCTCAGGGCGGCGGTGCTGGAGAGGATGCCTGTGATTGAAAAGAACTCAGGTCAAAGTAACGGAGAGTCGGCAGGGGCAAAGACGGAGCCGAAAATCATGGTGAAGCCAGGAGAGACCTCGCCTCCTCAGCAGCCTGTGAACCAGGTAACGTCACTGCTGACAAGTTTTAATTTGTTCCAGTTTGAGCTTCAGACCTGGATTCATCAGGTTTTTCCCCCAAACCTGGTTTGGGATTGAAGGTGTGGTTCTGTGTGTGTGTGTGTGTTGTCATTCAGGTGTGTGATCTCTTGGATCTGCTGGGAGGATCTGAGGGACCTGCGCAGCCTAATCCAGCTCAGAGCACCACAGCTGCAGGTCTGACCATGAACACCAGCAGTGCTGCGGGTGGAGACCTGCTGGATCTGCTGGGAGGGTTTCAGCCAAGCCCTCCTGCACCAGGTCTGATTTGTAAACACACAACAGTGAGGTTTGCAAAATAAACAAAAAAGATTGGGTTGTAATTCTTCACATTCTCTTTCCTCAGCTCCGACTCTGAGTGTGTATGAGAAAAACGGCGTGAATTTGACACTACAATATGAGCGACAGTCGGACGCAGTGCTGACGGTCACACTCACGGCCTGTAACTCCACTGACTCTGACATCAGCAGCTTCTCCCTGCAGGCCGCTGTGCCCAAGGTTTGGTCCAGTGAATTAGGAATCAATGATAACAAAAATCATTCAAAGATTATTAGACTGTTTGTTAACCAAACGGTGGGTCAGAGGTTCAAGTCTCCAACAATGACAACAACACAAACGTCTTTTTAGACTTCACGGTTGTGTTTCCTCTCCCTGCAGAGTGTCCAGTTACACATGAAGGCCCCCAGTGGGGACTTCCTCCCTGCGAGAGGGGCAGCTCAGGTGACCCAGATGGTGGTCCTCAACAACCCAAATAAGGTGAGTCCACAGAGACGTCCCTCACCTCATCACCGATCTGTAGAGTCTGGCAGGCGAGGAGATTTGGACCTATCACAGAGCAGCTCAGCTTCACTCTTCACAGCTTTTCATCCATGTCCCATTCAGGTGCACCTGAAGATGAGGATCCGCATTTCCTACACCGTCCAGGGATCAGCCTTCCAGGACATGGTCCAGGTGGACTCCTTCCAAGGACTCTGACAGCAGTAAAGCTCTCCAGCTGGACTGGACTAAACTGGACTGGACTAGGACAGCAGAGTCAGCAGGCGTCAACCATGGACAGCCTGCTGTAAAAACCCTCAGTGCTGCACTTGGAGCTGCTGCTCTGCGCAAACACACACACACACACACACACACACACACACGCAGTGTTTTTCCTGTGTTTTCTTAGTCCTTTACAGGAATCACAGCCTGTTACAGGAAGCCACAGTTTTCCTCCTCTCTCCTGGAGCTGGAGCATTAACACGATTAACGACACAAGCTTTAAACATTCAGGTAAAACACGGACATACTGTAAAACACCACTAGTTTATTACTCTCCAGGTGACAACCGTCCATAAAAGTACACTCTCACGTGGCTCCTGTTAAAAGCCAGTGGAACTATGACACTATAAATCAACTCCAAAACAGTGTTTCTTCACTGTTTTCAATTTTTACCTCCTTGATCTTCACTTGAATCAAAAACAGCTCTTGAAGCACTACCACAGTGGAAATCTATCCTCACGTTGTTGTTGTTGTTGTTGATTATTTTTAAGAGGTGACTTTGACTGTGATGAAAAGATATTTAAACACAGTCATGTGTCTTGACTTTGTAGTGTACCCACTGTGACCTTAACCAACTCCTCGGTTTGAAATGTAACTCGTAATTAAAATGTTTTTAAATTTCCGGTACAAATTATGATTCGGTTAGATCTAGTCCTAAAATATCACAGCAGCTTTTGTTTTTTTTACTGTATGGAATCAGACTTTTATTAAGACTTTGTACAGTCCGTCAAATCATTTTATAATGAAGAGAATCGTGCCTGTGTTCTCCGACTACAATAAGCATGGAGCATGGCCCGGACATGAATGATGTCCCTGGGATTTTCTGGACATAAAATTATCAATTCATACTTTTAGTCTTAGCCACGAACAGAAAAGCTCCTGTGAAACAAAATAATGAGCAAAAAACTATTTGATACATGTAATAAAAAAGACTGTGTGGAAGTGACGGTGCTCTAAACAGATGTGTGAAAACTCTACCAATATGTACAGATATGACTGGGTGTAAGGGTTGTACTAATGGTTTTTAATCGTCTCACCCTGTTCAGACAGACTTTTTTTTAAATTAAAAAAAATGTTTTCAGAATCTTTGGTTCTCCAACTCTCCTCTGTGTGTCATGGTGCAATTGTAAGAACAGAGCTCAGATCACCTTCACCATTTATTCACAAGCAAAAACAACACGGGGCCTTCACACACACTCTTCTACCGTGTGTGTGTGTCTGCATCACCTAACCAAACTCAGAAAGACAACATTAGTTTACTAAAAATAAAGACAACAGAATCCGACTCAGTCTTTCTTTCTTCTGGGTTCTTCTTCTTCTGTTTGTTTGCGTCGTTGGTGTCTATGGGGGGAGTGCAGGGTGTCATATCTGTATTTTATTGTGGTTAGATGTTGATCAACACTTTCGACTCTTGGTATTGGGCTGGATATGTTCTTGGCAACTCAAGACGAGGATGGAAGACGTGTGCAATCTGACGATCCTCCTCTTAGTGCCAACACAAGGTGGAGCACGGAGCCTCCCTGGATCTTGTAGTCTGCTGCCGTCTTCTCATCATTCCTTGAGTGAAAGGAAACATTTATCATCATACAAAAAATGGTGGAGAGGCACAAACCAGAATCATCTCTGTGGCTGTGGCTCAAATCTGTTGCTCACATCTGTTTCCCACTGTAAATGAGTCTCTGTTGCTGTGGAGGAATCCCTTCCTTCTCTTCTACTCGTTCTTTGATCCGCTCCACCTGGGTGTTAGAAACAGGAGAAGGGACATCAGGGATTTAGGATACTACATTTACTTTTTCTGAAGATTTTTTTTTTCCTGCACTAACCTTGTCTGTGGGCTCAATGTCGATCTCGATTTCTTTTTTTAAATTAGTCTAAAAAACAAAACAAAAACAAAACAGTGACATCAACTCGGGCATTGCTTTACTGAAATTCAGCATTTTAGATTAAAAAAAAACTTTACGTAAATACTTGAGTATTTTCCTCTAGCTTTGTTTGTACAACCTGTACTGTAAAAGGGGTAACTTTGCGCAATGATTTGTATCTTAGCGTAATTGCTGTTTTTTAATAAACTATTACGTTTTAAAAAGGGTAATAATACAGATAATATGAACAATGCACACTATCGGCGATCTGGAAACTGATTTAATTTGGCTTCATTATTTATAAGACAAAGACACGTTTGACTGTAATGCAAATAAATTACAGCTGCACCAAAAGACCGAGGTATAAATTGTTGAAAAATAAAACGGTTCCAAACAGAAGAGATCTAGCTACTCATGCTAATAAACACTGGCCTGAAAGAAATGAGAGAAACCGGTCAGTGGTGGTAGCGGGCTAATAAGCAACAACTGTTAAGAAGCAGGAAAAGGCCACACATAATAAATGACGTTCTTACCTTTACTTTAATAAGCATTTTGAATAATTATTAGACCACAGACAAAAGAGGTGTGTGAAGTTTAGTCTCGTAAATATGAATAAGCGAATTCGCAGGGTACTTCTGGGTAGCTGGAGTTTACTTCCTGTGTAGCGTGCTAAACGTTCCGATCGTCACTGCGACAAATAATATAGTACCGCTTGTTTTGAACACAAATCAGCAAGATGGATAAATAAACAAATAAATTAAAATATATAATACATAAAGGCGTCATCTCAACCAAAAATAATATAAGTAATAGCTGAAATGTAGCAGCATCTTTAAATTAGCCAAATAAAAAAAGCTATGTCGTAAAAGCTACAAGTTAGTTGAAATGGTAAAAACAATTTAAATGTTGAACTCAGTGAAATGGTAAAAACAATTTAAATGTTGGACTCTGGCCTAAGTCTAGCTAACGACATATCTTAAAATTACCTAAGTAATAATTCAACATTAACGCAAAAAACTATAAATTATCCAAACAAAACAAACATTTAAAAACAAGTCCATTAAACTCAGATTAATTCTTCAAGACATTGACTGTTTACTATATCAACACAATTGATTCAGGAGAACTTTTGTAAACAATCAAAACACATGTCAGAGAACTGATGTTAAATGATGAGCCACAGTCATGGGGAGCAGAGGCTAAAGAGCCATCATGTCTATCACAGCTGATGTTGATCACTGAGCTGATGAGGCAGGAAGTCTATAAGGTGAGCTTCTTCCAAACTGCTTCACATTGTTTAGTCATGGTGACTCATCGGTACCTGGGTGTTGTAATCCTGGCTGTTTTTGCAACAACTGTCACAAATGCAGGTATACTTTCCTGGAAGAATGTGAATAAGTTCCACAACATGGGCAGAAACCATTAACGTCAGACTTTGTTTGCAGAAATCACAGTGACGTGTGGAAAAGACTCGGTGAAAATCAGATGGGAATTTGGTGCAGACTGGGTGCCGAATGCATCTCGCCTTTTCCTGGGGAGCTGCAGAGCATCTCAGCTGAATGTTCTGCCCACGAGTCAGGGGGAAGCACTGTTTAACTACCCGTTTTCAGCATGCAAGTTTAAAAAACTGGTAAAGATTATTATACTATGTAAAGTTTTGTTCCTTAAGTTGGATTTAATGACTGGCTCTTCATTCTTAACAGATGAGAGGAAAACGCATCATCTATCAAAATGAACTGACTTACAGGCCGTATCCACAGAACAAGCCTGCTGCTGTGGTCCATCCCATCGAGTGTGTCTACCACAGGTGATTTTTCTACTGTTTCTTTGCTTGTTATAGTTTAATGGTTTAATGTGAGATGATGAGTGACCCCGTGAACATGTTCCAGACCTGACACATGGGTCCCTCCTTTCCTGAGGCCTGGCTCGGGCACATCTGAGGGCTGGGGTGGGCTGGTCTTTCACATGTCTCTACTTAATGGTGAGGGTTTGTTCTTTTCTAATAAATCTAACACTGAAACAATCAAATGTGTTCTGAGCCCTTCTTTAAAATCTCAACCAACAGAGGAACTATCAGGTGTAGCCCAGACCAATGTCATCCCATTGGGCTCTTTTATGCCAATATGGGCGGCAGTGGAGCAGAAGTCCCATCAGCCTTTGCTGCTGTTAATGGAGGAGTGTGTGGCAGTGTCAACACCAGATCTGCAGGCGGAGGGCCAGGTTTACCCCATCATTACTAACAAGGGGTAGGGTTAACTCTCTGGTCCTGGCAGTGACCTCACAGGACGACAAGTTGTCGTTAAACTGATTTTATTTATATCAGGTGCCTGGTAGAGAGTGTGAGAGGAAACTCCATGTTCCTGCCTCGCTACCACTCATCTGCCATCGTCCTCTACCTACAGGCCTTCAAGTTCAACCTTGGAAAAGAGGTGAGTGAAGAACGGGTAAAACCACGAGTGGTGTTGAATATAACGCCCTGACATGAGTGTCTTCCTCCCAGGTTTACATCCACTGTAAACTGGCTGCGTGGGACCCTGAGGTTTTTAATGTGGGCAAGAAAGCCTGCAACTATATAAAAGAAACTGAAGGGTAAGAAAAGCTGTTGTGTTAGGAGGGAGGCTGGGGGGAGGACTGTGGAAGGGGCGATTTCTGGACGATTTGTCCAGAAATGACAAAAGCTCATCCTTAAAGCTAAAAATTCAACAAATTGTAGACAGAGCATAGATGTTGGAGTATTTAGATTGTCATGTTATTAATTATTAAAGTAAATAATTTCTATTTTCTCAGCTGGGAACTGCTTGATGACCCATCTCAGAGTGAGCTGTGTAGCTGCTGTGCTTCAACCTGCAGGACCCGGTCCAGAAGAGGACTGGCATGGGGTATTGTTTAGCCTTGGTTGACCTACAGTAACACTAATTATCAAACAAGAGCTGCCTTTGACTGAATGTATCCATTCTTTCCCAGGATCCCACAGTCAAACCTCTGTGTTAGGACCTCTGATCATCGTGGATCCTGAGATGTCGGTGAAGTCTCTCGTGTAATGATTTCAAACTATTGTCCTAAATCTGCTGAAACATCAGACACAGACTGAGGTTTAAGCAGCTTTCCCACTCAGGACGGTCCATGATGTCTCCAACAAAGACACTAAGGGGATTTATTTGCCCTCAGCACTGACTAACAATAGGTTTTGCTCTATGGTCCTTCAATCTTACCCAGATTAAACACCAATGACATTCATCACAACTTTACAGATGATGTGAATAAAACTGCTTTAATCCACTTGTGGTTCTGCTTCAATCCTGTTTGATGCCTTTGGAAAAATTAGGAAATGACTAACATTCTGCTACCTTTTTTTTTTCTTACACTGAAAAAAAGTTTGTATTCAAGTCCTCACATCATTTTAACTTTCATATATTTGTTATATAAAATGACTATCAGGCAACTACAGGACACTCCATTATGCATTGTTCTTCAAAGGTAAAATGATTGCTCTCATAAATACATGATCATAAGTGATTTCACATAAACGTTACAGTGAAACACAACAGATGAGAAAAATCATTAGCTCAGATTATAGATTTAATGATTATTGGCCTTAAGAGGAGTTAGAAAAAAATACAATTTAGTAATGCTGACAGTTGGGGAAATTGTGTATATGTCACAGCTGTCAAGGAAAACAAATTAATTTTCTTCTGAAAGATAAAAACCTGAAATGTATGTTATAAAGAAATATTTAGTCTACTGTCTGATTTTATTGAAAATGATTATACCAAAATGCACCAGTAGGGGCCCACTGTGACTTTAGCAATTGTTATAATTATGTTAACGACTGCTGCACCTGTGACCCACGACCCACTCCAGGTGAAGGACATCAGTGTTAATCAGTGTTCTCTCACTTTGACCAATAATAGTACTGACAGTGTTTTCCTCTTGTTCTCAGTCATGATGGCGTTCTCCCGTCAGTGTGTGCTGTTCTTCTGTCTGCTAGCTGCTTTTTCAGTTTATGCAGGTACTGATCCAGCAATAAAGAATGCATTTACAGCCTTTTTTTTTTAATGGTTCAATGTAAACTTTTTCTCCCTGTGGCAGACATGAGACTGGACTGCAGGCCTGATTTTGTGACCTTGGTGTGGACTGAAAGCAGAATCCACGTCGACCCATCACTCCTTCGTCTGGGCAGCTGTTTTCCTACCAGTGTCACAGCCATGGAGGCTGTTTTCAGTGTGGATCTGAATGACTGTAACTTCGACCGACTGGTGGGTGGAAAGACTGGGAGATAATGAGAAAGACTATCATTTTGTTTGAGATTCCCAGACGTTTTAATATGGGTTTAGTTGGCAGTTTCCTGGCTATACTTGTTTCTTTACCTAGTGTCATCTTGATTATTTTGTGTAAATATAATCCACTTTATTTTAAACTAACTTGCTAACTAACTTTATTTTTCTGGCTATGTTTTCCAAGGCAGTTAGCATACTACAGTGACCAGGTCAGACATTTTTACCCTTGCAGGATTTGTCAACTACCACATCCATTAACAAATGTCACTTTCATTTTTGCCCAAAGCTCAAGTTGATTTCAACAGGGCACCACCAGTAAAACTGGTCTCCTTCACAGGTCACTGGAGATCAGATGATATACACCAATGATCTGACCTACATCTCCTCCCACGAGTCCTTCAGCCACCCTGTAGTGTGTGTGTATGACAGGTGTGGATTCACACTCTTTGAATCTCTCTTAAAAAAAAAAAAAAAAAAAAAAAAAGGTTTAGGCAGATGTGATTCTTTAGCAGCTCTTTAAAATGTTTCATCTTTAACACTTCACATGGATCTGTCCTATGTTTGTCCATATTTGTAGGCCAAAAGACTGGTTCCCCCTTATCTATGATCCTGTGTTTAACACACACGGTGAAGCAGGTCTGGTTTTTCACGCTGGACTCATGAACGGTTGGTCTCGGAATCTTACATTTCATAGGTCCTTTTATCGACTGTAACTAACCCTAACATCTGTGCTCCCCTCTCTGTAGATGACTTCTCAGGCCCTGCTGTGTCAAACACTTTCCCTCTGGGCTCCTCCATCCCAGTCATGGCCAGTGTGGAGGAGGCCACCCATCAGCCCTTGCTGCTACTTCTGGAGGAATGTCTTGCTGCTGACACACCACAACTGGTCCCAGAGAGCAACGTGTACACGGTCATCGGCAATAAAGGGTACGACTGTTGCCGTGGAAACACCTACGTCCTGGTTCATCTTTGGCAGAGACAAACTTAATGTCTTTCTTTCAAACCCAGGTGTCTTGTGGACAGCAGAGTATCTCGTTCAAGATTTGAACCCAGAATAAAATCATCTGAGATCAAAGTATCTCTTCAAGCCTTTAGATTTGCCCTGGGAAAAGAGGTGATTTTCTTTTTCTTTTTCTTTTTTCCCCCAGATGAGATGATGAATTGACTAATTTTTTTTTTTTTTGTTTTTTTGTGGCAAAACACTCAACAGGTGTTTATCCATTGCAAACTTTTGGCTTGGGACCCCATGGGTCTTGACAACACCAAAAAGGCCTGCCACTATGTCAAAGACCACGGGTAAGAAATGTAGAACTTGTCGTACAAAATTCACGAATGCATCTTGAGGTCATTGACGTTGCTTCTTCCAGATGGGAGCTTCTGGACAATCCTGCCTACAGTAATCTGTGTGATTGTTGTGATTCGAGCTGCAAATCCAGGAAAACAAGGAGCATAGGATCAGGTTCATGAAAGTGTATTTTAAAGTAATATGGTAATCCAAACATAGTTTTAGAACAACAATATAAATGAACTCCAACAATTTGATTCTACAGGAGAGCTAGGACTGAGACACAAAGCAGTCATTGGACCTTTAACCATCACTGAGACCTGATGTATCCAGGTGAGGATTAAAAAAAAAAATTCATTTGTGCCTGATTGACTTTATAACATGTTGTCCTTTTACAGAAATCAATTCATCTTTTGGACCATCTGCATCATCTAACTTGGGTTTTATTGTTTGAGCTTATAAAAGCTGACTGCCTGCTTCTCCTTGCATTCTAGATGTGGCCATTAAAAGATGTACTAACCTTTCAAACTGTCCCCCCCTCATTTGTTGACCATACTCTGCACATTATTTTTTTATTTAAGTGTAGATTTAATGTACAAAATTACCCCACTGTACAGTATAAACACGTACATGAGGTGAGTACGGAAAGAGCAAATTCTTGAGGAATATGAATTTATTTAAACCAATTTAACTTTTAACAAAAGCATTTACTTAAATTTAAAGTTTTTTTTTATTATTTATTTTGCAAATAGTTGTAATTACTATAGTGGGTTAATGAGTTCCTGTTCTGTTACATCATATCAATAGGTACTGTGCATTCAAATATATAAACTATAGATATTCTAAACTCTTCCCGGTTTTACTGTATTGAACTAGGAACGTTAACAGGTTAACGTCAACCCTGGGCTAATGGTTAAACGGTCGTTCAAATAACCGGCAGGACGTCAATCAAGGTCAAGAATCTTCTGGAATATTTTGACTACCTTTTAACTACTAAACAAGTAGGTAACGTAACTGTGAGAAGAAAAACTTTTCCAATCCAATTTTAAAGTGCCCCCCCCCTTCATTATGTTAATTTTTAGTTATTATTTCTTTTAGCAATTAAAGCTAGCGCGTTAGCTAACATCTCCACGCTAACGCGATAACGTTTTATAGTCCGGTGTGTTGAAGTTTAATGAAGCTAAAACCGCTCATACATTAATCTTGCCAAAATTAATAACGTCAGTTTTATCTGGATTTCGTTATGTGTGGTATTTAAATATTTTAACAGCTTACATTTATATATACGTTTAATACGGTGCTGTTAATCTTCTATCGTTTTCTGCTATGAATAATAATTATGTTTCATTTTGTTTAAAAATTTTAAATTGATTAATTATTTTGGTAAATGTTCCATGGTTCCATTTAGCATGCCTGCCTTACAATCAAAGATTCTTAGGTTCGATTCCTAAGCACTTGGGGCGTATTGTCGTCTGTGAACACAATTTCCCCACAATAAAGTTCAAGTTATTAAATTGTTGTTTGCACTTTGATAAATTAGATGTAGTTAAGGCAAAACGTGATTTGATTTGCTTTAGGCTTAAGTTGACCAATAACATTTAGTGGTTATCTTTAGGCCTTAAATGGACTGGTTCCACTGTAGCAAGTGCTTCACAAAGAGAGGTTCCTCGTTTGCTGTCACCAGCTGTGGCCACATCTGCTGTGAAGCATGCATTATATCAAGTAAGAACCTCTCAGTGTATATAATGATCTACTCCATGGTTCCACGTTCTCTCACTTCTGCTTACCCACTGTTTTTCCTGTTCAGATGAGTGCAGCGTGTGTGGAGCCAGCTGCTGTTACCTGACCATCAGTGATGAGGTTGGTCAAATACGACTATAGGCTGTAAAGAAATAAAAGTTTATCTGTTGCATAAGTGCGGCACAAACTAACAATAAATCCTGGTGAAGTGGCTGCGTATGATGTAGAACCAGCAGCTGCGTCAACTGCTACGAGCCCAGTTTTAAGACAAAACCAACATGGCATCCATGGAGTTTGTCATTTCCATTCTTTAATTGCAGGAAGATGTCGATAGTCTTGCGTTAAACACATTACTGATACCTGCACACATTTCTGTTTTAGATGAAGCCACAGGAAAAGGTGTTTTTTAAGGAGCCGCTGAAGCTGATGCAGTCACGACTGGAGCACATCTCACAGGTCAGTTTCCTCCCTGCAGCCTCCGCTCGATAACTCCGGGGTTCTTTACTTTTTAATTGCCACACCAGACCTTTAAATGTCAGAGCAGTCTGCCAAATAAATAACCAATGTGTCGTTCTGTAGCATTAAAAGATTAAAGGTCTCTTCAGCTTAGTACCACTGTCCCAGAGGGTCTTCCGGGACTCTCTGAGCCGTGGTATAATCCTTCAGCTAGGACTGATCTAAGTAAGTGGTTAAAGAATAATATTAAGTGAGATCTCCTTTTCTAGATTGCAGTTTTTCAGCAGAAGCAGATGGAAAGAATCATAATACACCTCAGGCATATGACTGTTGAACTGGAAAGGCGTCTGAAGGAACTCACAGATAAAGGCTACAGGTGACTTCAGTGTCTGTGTTCTGTTGCTCCATGGTTGTGTAAATAAAACCTAGACTACAACAGCACCTTTCACACTGTGACACTGTGTTTAAAAGGCAACTTTCCGAGCTGCGGAGAGAAAATGACGTTTTGAAGAAGCATATTTTAGAACTCAAAAAAGAAAACGCTGAATTGAAGAAGCCTCTTTCTCAGAGGAGGGTAAGGAGTTTTTCTTTTTCTTTTTTTTGGACATTTAAATGTGATATATCACAGTAACCTGTTTTGTGTGATGTTTGATTATCACAGGTTTCTCCAGGGCATCTTCACATTGATGGGTAAAGACTCTTCATTGCAGACATTTTAACACATGATACACACACTCCTCAGCCCATCTTGGCTGACAGGAGTGGAAGCCTGTGTGGTCTACTGCTGCTGTAGCCCATCTGCTTCATGGTCTGTCATGCTGTGTGCTCAGAAATGCTTTGCCACATTCCTCACTGTGGTCACGTCAGTCTGGTGGTTCTCCTGCCTTCTGAGAACTGCTGTTCACTAGGGTTAATAGTTTTTGTTAAAAATATGATTATTTAAAAAATGCAGGATATTTGTTGTTCTATGGCAATTCATCAATTTTCCCTTTCGACACCTAGTGGTCAAAGAATGACACTACCAGTGGCCATCACCTCACCAGGTAAAACCAGAGGAGAGCTAAGTCATCAGATGTTTTATTAGATATATTTATGAGTCAAGCAGAAGAGAACACATTTTGGAAGAATCTCTGCTCCGATGAGCAGAGATCGTACACGTTTGATTGTTTTCCAGTTTTTGCAGTTTACACTGACTAGAATGTGTTTTCTTTTCAAAGTGACTCCTCATTCAAGGACAGGCAGGTGTGTATTTCATTCTTTTTAACTGTATAAATAAACAAATCTAGCTGAGGGTAAATATGGGAAATCATTTTCAATATCTCAGTGCTCAATGTATGGACAGTCGCTTTGGTTCAGCCGAATCCCATGGGACCAGGGACAGACAGCGCAGTCTTTCCTCCCTCACTGTGAGTGTCACACTTTCCATCCACTGCATGTCATGGCAGCACAGTAAATTCATTTAGATTTTTTTTCCAGGGCAGCCACATTCAATAGTGTGAAATTCCCAAGGGCTATTTATACCTTCTCTGATGATTACACTATTAAGTAATAATCTGACTGTTAGACATTGTTTTTAAAAGAGGTCAAAGGTCACAAAAACTGTACATGACTCTGGACACTTAAAGGATTCCATTCTCACAAACTATTATTTTTGTTAATTATTTTTTTCACAAACCCTGTAAAGTGTTTACTGTTTTCTCTTGAGTCAAATTATATTGTATATATTCAAGATACTTATGTATAAGTTGAATTATTAACACTATATATAAAATAATTATCTGCATAAAATGTTACTGACTAAAACTTACTATTTTGGTATAAAATAATTATCTGCATAAAATGTTTTTTTTTAACTTACTGACTATTTTGTCAGACTCCTGGATCTGCTTCGTCCATTTCCAGCAACAGCTCCGTCCATGGACATATGCAAAGTAAGTGTTGAATGTGCAAATATTTTACTAAGCTAATTTAAAAAAAATTGAACATTTTTCATCTTCTTTTCCAAATAAATTCCTCTCTTGCCTTGGAAAAGGAACGCCCACGTCCTTCAACAACACGACAAGGTAAGAAAACCTCCCATCTGTTACAACGGGATTCTCTAGTGTCCTGATAAGTAGCTTTTCCTGTAATTGCTGTGTCACACGACTGCCTCTCTTAGGACTCAGCGTCAGACTCCTGCTTTCCAGTTTCAGTTCACAAACGGATTTTCAATCCAGTCTCCCAGGTATTAGTATCAAATACCACTGCTTCAGTGGGCGTCATTCGGTGAAGTTTGTGTTCCAAAAAACAACCTAGTTGCATCTTGTTTAAAAAAAAAAAACATGCCTGATTATAAACAGGTCAAAGTTCATACGTAACCCCCCAGTTTTAAGGAGTTAACACAACTAGATAACTTTACTATAACCAGTTAGTTTTATATGTGTATATATATTTATAAATATATACACATATATAAACATGCAAGGATATATAACTTAATATGTCTACATATATACACATATATTTAGTTATATAGATAAAGAGATCAAAATAACAATGATAAAAAAAAACACTGACTGAAAGTAGGCGGCTCATTCAACTAATGGTGCTTTAATATTTCTGTCAACAGTTACTGTGAACAGTTGATTAAATGTAAATGACAAGCAATGTAATAGACAACAAAACCAAAAAGTACAGTGTAACAATGTGTAGAAACCAAAATAAATTAGTAGAAATGAATCCGAGTGTCATTTTTAAGTGATAAACAATGACACGATTTATTGAAGAGTTTGTCATTTTCTTGAAATCAATGGATTTAATAAACATAATGGCAGCAGGCCCTGAAACCAAAGTGCAAGATGTCAGTTTAAAGTGTACATGTCCAGTGTGTGCTTCTCATGAGGAATTATTGGCTGTAAAGGAATGATGACACACAGTAATCGGCCAGCAAATTTAAAAAACACAAAGACTTTCCAGAGCAGTCGCTTTGCTGCCATTTCCAGGTACCAAACGTACGACCAGTTTAAATTACACTAACAGCATACTAAAAAAACTAAAAAAAAAAGCACAAAAACAACACGTAACAGTGTACAAATTATATACAGCATTGAAGGGAGCCAAATTTCAGTTCAAGTCAAAATATATTAGGATGAGCAGGAAATGCAATAACACATCATTAATGGTTTGCAGTGAGGACCAGGAAATAAAAACCTGCCCCATTAAAGCCACTTAGACCTTTGATGGTTCAAAGGATGTGAGGAGCTTTTGATGTTAATACCATTTTGGGCTGTGAGATATAACACAAATCCACAGACTGTTGTTAATAGACAAAGTTAATTTATCAAACAACTTGATCAGCTAAACTTGAGAATGGGCAGAGCCTTATATTGGATGTCAATAGTTGCCAGTCATAGCCTTATAGACAGTCTATCTACTAAAAGTGACAGGATTGCTACAACCAACCTGGTCTACAGTTATCCTAAGACGTCCAGTGACATTATACTGTCATTTTTCTATTTATTAAATATATATGTATTGCCATAGAGTTTTACTTTGCCACACAAAAAGGCATTTGTGTGTCAAGACCAAAATGTGCTACTTCAGCTGCACAGAAGTGGTGCGTATGTAAGGTCTGACGCAGACCAGATAAAAGTACTTTGCAAAGATTAGGATTACAACAGCACTCTGACCACTCTGCACGAGCAGAACCTACAGAACGATAGAGCCGTTGTTGCAAAAGCACCGATTGCCATTGTGAATTTTAACCTCATGGACATGATTTTAAAACTACAACTGAACAGCCACGTTGAACATCTGGCCAGAGTGTGTTGTGTCTTATGAACTCTCTTACAAAAAGGTGTGTATTATGATAAGTCAAGTGTGTATGAAATGAGATTTTGGTCATATAGCACAGCCCGGTGGTTCCAGTATCTCAGTCAGCAATAACGAGTTCTTTGTCAGTCTCCTCAACATCCTGAGTTGCAAACCAATCTCTAACTTGCTGGTAGCTCATTTTAGATTTTTTACATAAGGTGTCAAGGTCTTTTTCATGAAGTGAGCCGTTGGAATGGTAATATGAGACCAACGGCTGTGTATCAGGTAAAACCGAATTTGTTCCATTCGTCTGAATTTTCCGTTTGCGGCTGCCGGCAGCCCGATTAGCTGGCCCAGAGCCACTGTCGTTCGTTAAACCGCTACCACCTTGTTGGGTTGCAAGATCAGCCAAGAACTGGTCACGGACATCTTTCACCCAGCGAAGCTGACCGTTTTTGACGGCATATCTCGTGTCACCAAACCATTGAATAACGTCGGCCCGTGGTAAACCTGTGAGCTTCACCAGTTCAGTGTAATCGTCACTCTTGGGCCACTGGCAGCGCAGGAAATGTTGCTTTAAAATATCCAACTGCTCCTTGGTCTTTCTTGGACGTCCACCAGGAGTCAGAGCAGGTGACGTGGTCGTAGATGAAGCCCCTGAGACGGAGAAAGGTGTTTGTAGAGGACTGGCTTTGGCTGAGTTGGAAGACTTCTTTGTGCTGCTGCTGTTTTTATGTTTAGTATTCAGTAGAGGGCTGCTGCGGGGGGAAGAGTGTGGAGATGATTTTATGACACCTGATAGTTCTTGTGGATTATCTTCCTCACTTTTGCAGATCTTTGTCAATTGTAACGGCTGTTCTTCACTCTTCATCTGATCTTTAATACTGTCCGCGTCATCCGAGAGCTCTTCCACAGCACCGCCTTCTTCTGCCTCCAGTGTCTTTTCCCCAAATGCTTCCAGGCTGTGTGTCAAGAAGTTCTGAAAGAAATGGGAACTTTTTGTTCCACTGCTGTTTGGCTTACGAGAGTTTTGAGTGACCAGTGGAAGTGGAAGACTTTGTTGATCGTGTTTTCCTCCCACAACCGTGTGTTGAGAATAGCTCTGGGCTGCTGCCAGGCTTCCTCGGCCTACCCTAAGCTGATAACGGCTGTCACTGAACCATTTACGAATGTCATTGCGGGTCAGCCCAGTTTCTTCCTGCAGCCGTCTCAGCTCTGCCTCTGCAGGCCAGTTTTCTCTCAGAAAGCTTTTCCGCAAAGCAGCGAGCTGAACTTTGGATTTTTTGTAACGGCTGTGACGGTTCTGTGGCGAGGATGAATCCGAAAGGTCAAGGGAGACTTCAGTTGCTGAACTTTCTAATGTGTCTGCTGGTGGGCGATAGAAGTATGAGTCCTGAGGAGGTGGAAGGGAGGAACTAAAACATGGGACAGAGGGTTTGGCTGGTTTGTAGGAATCTGGTGACTCACATGTTGTTTTTTTCTTTGGGGGAGTAGAACTAGATAAAGTTCTCCCCACGTCATCGCTGCCCTTACTCTCAGTTAACACGTCCTCACTTTTATTGCTGGTGCTCTTTATTTTTTCTTCCTCCTTGGTTTCAGTGGAGTCATCACAAAGCTCAGGCACTGCCAGCTTCCGCCGCGTCTCCTCTATTTCTTCGGAGGACCAGCTGATACCATATTTAATTCTCTGGACCATAAACCACACTTTCACTTTGTCCAGTGGCAAAGCACATGCTTTGGCGAGGGTGTTAACTTCCTGGGATGACGGGTACGGAAATAAGTTGAAAGCTCTGACCAGTTCTGGGACATTGTCCAGTTCTCGTGTTTGATCCGACTGTGTCCATACCAGTTTCAGTCCTTCTGACACCAGAGGCAGGCACACAACGGAGTTGTGGTTAGTGGTGAAACTGGCCACGCTGCTGGTGTTGCTTTCCACTGAGTTAGTGGAGCGGCACAAATCCTTGGACAGTCGTTTGGCGTCAGTCTTTCCTTCACACTCCAACTTTATTTTGGTTGCTAACGCAGACTCCTTCATGTTGAAAAGTAGTCCGTTTCTACCATTGTGTTCACTGTAGGTTGCCATCTGGGAGATGGGCATAGGCTTCGACCTGGGAACAAAAAAAGGCACACGGATTCAGATGTTGGTGTTACGTCACTTTTCTAAAGAATGTTGAAGTAGCTGAATGTCAAAGATAATCACAGCACTGAGAGAACAGATTATAGTTTTTCAAGAACTTTGTGTTCTAATTTATTCTCAAAGTCGATTATCTTCCAGTTCTCCTCCCCTCCGCTCCCCTCCCCCAGTCTCTACTTTCCTCCCCTATTTTGAACTTCCAATGTAGCTGGTCGTATACTCCGTCCAGACTGGTCTCCCCTCCCCCAGACTGTGGTGGCTGACTTTTGTTTTGTGGGAGTGGGGGGGGGGAGGGTGGGTTGGTCACAAAAGAGTGGGAGTGGGAGCGTGTGGAATGGGTATCTACGAGAAATCCATCACAGGCTACCTTCTCCCCCCGTCC